CCTTGGGACAGGGAGCCCCGCCCCGTACCACTTGGTGCTTGTAGAGGCTGCTTTGGGCTCAAGGATAAATGCTTACTGAAACTCGGCATTTTTGAAAGGGACTAAGGGAAGCTTTATGTCTCCCTCCTACAAGTCCAGCTTCTAATGGAGTGGAAGCTAGGTTGTAGATAAAGACCCACACTGATTTTCTTCTGAGAAAACACTGCCATGAAACAAAAACACTACATATCATCCCCACCCCAACAAACCAAAAACGGCACAATTACATTTCTCTCAGTACCACTGGTACAATTTCCAGGCTCCTGGGAAGAGCAACGTGGGGATTTTCCTCCTGGAAAGAACGGCAAACTGGTCCCCAAGGTATACTTGATTGAAACACAACTCTAAGTAAAAACAGTCGATAACCCAGCAAATAAAAGCTTGGCAATTTAGCTAAAACAGACAGTGTTATCCAGAAATCTATGGGAGCGTAAAAGAGAACTTTAAAAAAAGAATTATAACTTTTACAATTTCCCAAAGGCTTGCTCCCTGGTTTCCAAGTGGGAAAAATGTGAACAGGAACTGAAAGGAACCAGAAGAATGTAGGAAAAATGTAAACATTACAAAAAATATATATATATCAGGAGAATGGAGAAAGTGGACAGCTTCAGTGCCACCCTCTCGGAGACCCTCCGGCCCGCTGTGATCAGAGGCTGTGCCGCTGCGACAGATGCCCTGTCTCTGGCCACGAACCACCTAGAATGCGTTTTCGCAGGAGCAGGGCAGCGGCCAGGGGGGCGGCGGCGGGGGGCGCAGGCAGCCCTTCTCCGGCTGCTCCCGCCGAGCGTGGTGATAGTGGGGACGGGGCCAGCGGTGGCGGTGGAGCGCCTGGAGGCCGTGGGGCCCCTCGTCGTCCTCCGTGACTCCCCTCCGCGCGCAGCAGTCCGCGCCCAGGCGCCTCCCCAGCCACTGCCCGAGCTGGCAGTTTCGGGCCTGGAAGAAGAGGTAGACGAAGGGATCGAGGGCGCTGTTCGCCGCCCCCACGAGGCGCAGGGCCGCCGCCAGGTCCTCGGCATCCCACTCTCCCGCCGGTCCCGACGACCACGCCGCGGCCAGCCGGGCGGCGAAGTAGGGCAGCTGGAAGCCCGCGAACAGCAGCGCCAGGACCAGGCTCATCTTCACGCTCTGCGCTTTGGCGCGGGGCAGCGCGCCGGGCGCCGGGGCTTGGCCGGGGCTGGTGGTGGGCGCCCCAGCAGATGGGGCCGGGGCTTGGCCGGGGTTTGCCGGGGCTGGGGGCGGGCGCTGCCTCCAGGCGCGGATCAGGCGGCTGCAGGCAACGCCCAGGACCGCGACCGGCGCCGCGAACCCCGCGGCGGCCTCGTAGAGCGCGTAGACCTGCCGGTGCCAGCGCGGCGGGGGCGCGAAGATGTAGTGACAGCGGTGCCCTCCGTGCCCGGCGCGGACGGCGGGCGCCGAGGGGGCTGCCCCGCGCACCGCGAACGCCGAGGGCAGCGCCAGCAGCAGCGCCAGCAGCCAGCCCAGCGCGGCGAGGGCGCGGATGGGCAGCGGGGCGCCCTGGGGGCGGCGCAGGGCGCGCTGGCGCTGGAGGGCAATGAGCACCACCAGGTGGGCCGAGGCGCCCCGGCCGGAGACCTGCAGCAGCTGCACGAAGCGGCACTCGTGGTCGCTCGCCGCCCGATGGGGCTCGCCCAGCAGGTCCCAGGCCAGCGGCGGCAGCAGGGTGCCCCCACACGCGTACAGGTCGGCCAGGGCCAGCTGCACCAGCAGGAAGTCCATCGTGCGGCGCTTGGGACCCGCCCAGGGCCCGCCGCTGCCGCACAGGCGGCACAGGACCTTGGCGTTGCCCGCCGCGGCCACCACCAGGATAGCCCCCAGGTAGAGCAGGCGGCCGGGCGGGCCAGGCGGCGGCGGCGGCCCCGGAGCTGGGGCTTCCCGTCCGGACGTCAGGTTGGGACCCCAGCCCAGAGGGATGGGTGCGGAGTGGTTGGGCGCCGGCGGCAGAGTTGGGAGGCTGAAGGAGGGATGCTCCATCCTTACCTTGGAGGAAGAGCAGGTACCCAAGACCTTAGGCAGGTACCCAAGACCTTAGGAAACCGAGGTGGAGGCGAGGCTGCGGCGGGGCGCGACGCCGCTTCTGTCCGTTTCCAAAGTTACTTGAAAACCCACATGCAAGAGAGAAGCAGCTGGATTCCGGTATATTTGTGCTTAGATGTTTTTCACTGGTTGCCTTTCGTCACTTGTCACTCGCATGTGGGTTGTAACACTCGAGGATCACACATGATTCCTATTCTCCACCTTCTCCGTGTCTGCCCGCCCAGTCCTTCTCCCCTTCCCATCTCTGCAAAGGCCCCCAGGCTGGCCTCGCAGGAGCCTCATACCACTGGGCTCTGGAGGCTCCAGGGTTCCCAATTTACCCGGAGAGCTTATCTGGACACGAGGTCGTTTTGCCGGGGCCGTTGAAAAGGCTCATGTTAACCCAAGACCAAAACACAAGAGATGAAGCTCCTGACTGAGATTGTACCCCTCAAATGGTTCCATGATTCCGGGGCGGGGCGGAGGGGTGGGGGGTGGGGGTGGAGAGGAGAGAGAAAGAAACAAGAAACCAGTTTTGATGAAAACAATAAAAAAGGTTTGACATGTTGTGGATTTGTACTAGCAGGAGAGAAACAAACACAAGAAACTTAACAGCATTTTGAGCAAAGAGGATCCCACTAGAGTCTTTAATAATATGTCTCTTTGGCTAACAATGAGAGGATTTCCTTGGACTAAAGTCAGTGATGTTTAGCAATTAGGAGTTGCAGTGGTTTGCAGATACCTAGTTTCAAATACTCATTACTGGAAGCAGAGGATCACAGCTGCTGTCTGGGCGATACAAAATTCATTTCATTAGTCTGAAGAGGGCACCAAGAGGTTTCATTCAAATGGTAGTACATTTGTTACTCTTCCCCTAGTATTTTCATCCAGCGATGATGTGTCATCATGGCTTCTCGTTCTCTTGGTTCTGTCTTCCAGCAGGTGGGAGGTAGCTAGGAGGGACTACGCTTCCAATAAGCTTAGAGAAAAGGTGACTAAGAAAATAACAAGGCAGCCAAGTTTTTAAAAAGAAATCCAAGTTACAGGAAATGGTGTAGGTTAAATGCTGCCTCTTATTTTAGCCCTCCATCTTCACAAATTTTAGTTTTCTTGTTGGAAGCATCAATTTGTCTTTTGTGCACCCTCCTTCTTAGTCACCCTGAAAGTAGGATTCCTGCACTTCCTAACCTGGGAGTCTGTTGGGGTTCACATACCAGGCTGAGACATTTGGCACTTCAAGGTGCATGGGATAGGAGGGCGTGGTGGGTGCAAATGACAACCTTGCCATTTGCTGTAGTAGTCCAAGTAAAACCAAAAGGTTTCTTCGCCTTTTTCCTTTCATGACACCGATGGGTCTGAAGGGTCCATGGCACATGTTTTATAGACTGTCTCTAAAGTTCTAATTCTAGCTCATATTAATTCAACAAGTACTAAGCTTCTACCATGTGTATTTGTTTCCAATTAATTAAATCTGGATTAGACTTTGTGGGCAGAAATACTACAGGAGATAATTTGTCCTCAGTGTAATCATTTCAGGGCACATAATGCTAGTTTGTTTAAATTTTGATGATATAGGACATATGTTTCAAAATTAAGTATTTATTTTATTATAAAAATAGTACATATTAATTGCAGAAAAATTATACAATACAGATTAGCAACAAAAACACTTACCACACGATGCAGAGGTAACATTAATACTCAAGTTATATATCCTTCAGACTAATGATTAGATCTATATATTCACAAAAATATATAATATTTTGTATCCTGCTTTTTTCATTTAAAATCATATTTGGACAGCTGTCTATGCCAGTCAGTAAAAAGATGTGATGTAATTATGTTTAATGTGAAATTAATTACAATGATTTAAATAGCCCCCTATTTTCGGATAAATGTTTTCCAGTTTTCACTTTAGAAATAATTCCCTTCAGATACATTCTTCCATACAGTTATTGGCATTCAGTTATTCCCTTAAGATAAAAGCCTAGAAGGGGAATTGGTAGGGCAGAGCACATGAATTTTTAGAGCATTTTAATACATGGTGCACAAGCAATGTATGTGTATTTTTCCCATTGAGTCCCATCATTGTTAATTTTTGTCATTCTCTTACATGAAAAAAGTGTTTGTTATTTCTTCATTTTTAAATTTAATAAATAAAACCCTCCATGCTTGGAAGTGAGAGCCAGGCATTGATAGTCTTTAAACATACTCAAGTGATTCTAATTTGCAGCCAGGTTGTGCACCATTGTTATAGATTGGCGGTTAACAAATAATGGCCCACAGATCGAATCCTGTGTTTTTGTAAAGTTTCCTGGATATACCGCCAAGCTCATTTATTTACTATTGTCTGTTATTTACTGTTGCTGCTTTCATGCTTCTAGGGCAGAACTGAGTAGTTGTCAGAGACCATATGGCTTACAAAGCTTAAAATAGTATCTGGCCTTTTTCATAGAAAAAGAAAGCAAAGAGGGATAGTTTGTCAACTGTCCTGTGCAGAATTTTGCTAGAATTTATAGTTTCTAGAAGGTTCTGCTTTATTGTGAAGGCTACTCCTTTCACCCCCTGCCCTGCCATGATCTAATGTTAGTTTTCTCCTCCAATGAGATATTTGAAAAACTCTTAACTCTAATTCTAGCTCATATTACCGTATTTTTCGGACCATAAGACGCTCCGGACCATAAGACGCACAAGTTTTTAGAGAAGGGAAATGAAGAAAAAAAGATTCTGAAACAAATAGTGTCCTAAAATATTTTATGTGCATTAAAACCCAACATCACAGTCATAAACACATGTAATCAACCCTGTAAAGTAAACAGCAGCATTTAGAACCATTTTAGAGCCGGGCAAGCACACAGAGACCACACAGAGCCGGGCAAGTAAAAAAACTTTTTTTTTAAAGTATATGTGTAGGCTATATTTGGACAATAAGACGCAGGGACTTTTTCCCCCCACTTCTGGGGGGAAGTCTTATGGTCCGAAAACTACGGTAATTCAACAAATACTAAGCTTCTACCATGTGTCAAGCACTTGGGCTACAAAAGGCCATTCTTGTGTGGAGCTTTCATCTTTGTGGGGAAGGAGGTGTGGGAGACACAATAAACAAATTAAATATGCAAAACACACACTAAATTGGGTGTGGCGTTTTCTATGGAGGAAAATAAAGCAGGAAGCTCTATGAGAAGGTAGAATTTGAGCAGTGACCTGAAGGTGGTAACAAAGTGAGCCAAGTGGAAATCTGGGGGCAGAACTGCGTTCTAGGCCAAAAACATTAACAAGCACCAAGGTCTTGAGGTGGTGCATGCCTGGTGTGCCAGGAAACAACAGGGAGTCAGTGTGGCTGGAGCAGAGTGAACAAAGTGGCAGTGTGCAGGAGAGAACATTTGGCAGATCATTAGGGTCTTATAGGCCTTGGTTTTGGCTTTTACAGAGTAAGATGGGAAACCAGTGGAGCGTTTTGAGTATCCAGTGATGTGATTGGATATATTTTAATAGCATCAGCAATGGGCAGACTCAGAGAGACCTCTTAGGACGTTATTGCAAAATTCTAAATATCAGAGTATGGTAGATTGTAACAGGATGGTAGCAGTAGAGGTAGTTAAAAATGAAGCCCAAATATTGTCCTCAATCCAGTTTATAGTTTGTCTTGGTCTTGCAAGTTTTTCTGTTTTTCTGGTTGTTAGATGCTATTTTGAATTAGATATTGTCCTTAAAATTAAATATATCTAATTATGATCCTGTACCTAAAATACTTAAAATATTCCCAATGCTTAGTAAATTCTAACAAGGGATGCATATTAAAAGGTTTGGATAGAACAAGTAGATTACATTTATCTTCAAATACCTGTTTTTTTCAGAACCATTTTCTATGATTATTGTTTTATTTTTTCCTAAAACTAACACATATGTCCACGCCTTAGCTATTTTATGTTCTTTAGTTATAATCAGGAGATTGAAGGTAGATTTGCATATTTTACTTTTAACCTTAATACTCTAAACTGAGATGTCTTTCTTAAGGGTTTTACATCAGAATATGCCTGAAGTGAAATTTATTTCTCAGCAATTCATACATAACTATAAAGGCAACCTCATACAAACTCACTGAAGAACCATTAAATCATCTACAGATTAGTTTATGTAAATGGAAAACATAAGATACCAACTGAAAAACTACTGCAAACAACAGGATGGTTTGGTACAAAATAAACATATAGAAATAGAGTTTGCATAAATAAGCAATAACCAGTTAGATATATTGGAAGAAAGATCCACTTTAAAATAGCACCACCAACAACAAATGATAAAACAACCGGGAGTAAGCTCACCTATATGATAGGATCAACAGGTGGAGAGCTTAATAAACGAAACAATATAAGAACAAAACAGTGCCCAGTTGCCACCCCTAGAATTCTAATTCAGTTGGTATGGAGTGGGACCTAGAAAGTATTTTTTTTTAAAGGTTCCTACTTTCCAAATATATCTATGAAGATACTGATCTATTTTAGGAAAACAGAATGTTATCATAGAAGATGTGAAGAAATGGAAAAGCATACTCTATTCTTTAGAATAACTGAATGTCAAAGAATTCAATTCTCCCTAAAGTTGGCTATTAATTTAATATGATTTCATGAAAAGACTAACAAGATTTTTCATTTTTCAAATTAGACAAATTTGTTCTAAATTTGTATGAGAAATATAAGTTAGGAAGAGTAACCAGGACAGTTCAGTTTGTGTGGTTCAGTGGTTCAGCATTGATCCATGAAGTAGGACAGTGGTGGGCAAACTCATTAGTCAACAGAGCCAAATATTAACAGTACAACGAATGAAATTTCTTCTGAGAGCCAAATTTTTTAAACTTAAAATTCTTCTAACGCCACTTCTTCAAAATAGACTCGCCCAGGCTGTGGTATTCTGTGGAAGAGCCACACTCAAGCGAGCTGCAGTTTGCTGACCACGGAACTAGGAGACTAAGGTTTGATTCCCATTCACATGCCTGAGTAGGGGTGTGCAGGAGGCAGCCAATGGATGATTCTCTTTCATCATTGATGTTTCTGACTCTCTCTCCCTCTCTGAAATCAACAAAAACATTATTAAAAAAAAAAAAAAAAAAAAAAAAAAAATTAGCCAGGACAATTCTGAAAAACAAAACTGTAGCAAAGGGACCTGTCTGACCAGATATCACACCAGTAAACAAATTAGAATGGTCCATTGAAAAATGAAAAATGTTCTGAAAGAACTCAAATCAATAGAGGAAAATATAATTTATTCAATAAAATGTTATATAATGAAGTGCATTTCCTAACCAATTGGATTAATGTTAGTTTACTCAGTGCAAGGCAACTGAATAGCCATCTTATAAAACAAACTGAAGTTAAATCTCTAATTGATAACCATTCCAGATGGGTTAAGAAGGATGAAAAATAAACTCTGAAAGAAGTTAAATGGGGAAGATCATTCTAAATATATGTGACAAAATCCCAAAGCTACAAAAGCAAATACTCATAAATTTGATTGCATGAAAATACCAATTTCTACATGTCAAAATCACCACAACAAAGTCAAAAGATAAATTACAAAAAGGAAGAAAAAAAAAACACAAAAAAACTTTCAGCTTTTCTTACAAAGACCTAATATTTAAAGCATAACTGTAATAAAAAAAGACCAACCATCAAAAGAAAAATGGACAAAGAATAGAAAAATAGGATAGATCACAGTAAAAGAAATTCCAATGGCTAGTAAGCATATGAAAATATATTATACCTTACTCAGAAAAGTAAAAGTAATAGTATATTTTTAATTTATCAGGTTAGCAAAGGATGTGAAGGTCATTGCTGGGTGAGAATTTAAGTTGGCATCATTTCTTAGGGGTAATTTGGTAGTATTTTGTGTAAATTTGCTAGACATAGGTCTTATACCAGCAATTTCACTTCTAGGTACCTATTAAGTGGGAAAAGAAAAAGAGCAAGATGCAGAATATTTTTGTATAGTATGCTACCATTTGTGTGTGTGTGTGTGTGTGTGTGTGTGTGTGTGTAAGAGTATGAAGTTTGTAGACACATGGTCTGTCTCTAAAAAAATGCATAAGAAGGTGGTGGCCTCCAAGACGGAGGACTGGGTGGCTGGGGGACTGGGAAAGAAAGGAAACTTCATGTTCACTGTTAACTCCTTTGTACCTTTCAAAGCTTGTACCTTTTATAGAATAATACCTATTTTAAAAAGCATTAATAAAGTCAGTCATATCCAGGGTCTATAAACCATCAATTATTTCAAATACTTGCACCACATAAACATAAACAGCCATGTCCTATGAAATACAAATAATTCATCAGATACCAACAAATACCCACAAATTACTATTTTATGGTCTATAAGTAATAATAATAAAGTTACTCTACATTTTATATTATTCAGATGAATGTGACTTTATATTCTATTTGATTTTATCCTTTAAAGAGATTTTTTAAAATACATAATTTGATTTTTTTTACAGAGAGGAAGGGAGAAGGAGAGGGATAGAGAATTAGAAACATCGATGAGAGAGAGAAACATCAATCAGCTGCCTCCTGGGGATGTGCCTGAAACCAAGATACATGCCCTTGACTAGAATCGAACCTGTGACCCTTCAGTACGCAGGCTGACGCTCTACCCACTGAGCCAAACTGGTTAGGCTGATTTAACCTTTAAATACTTCCATTAAGATGTAAGAAGTTGCTAAGAATGAGATGTTAATAGTAATCATTTTTGAAAATATATAATTCTATAATAATTTATTTAAAAGAATATTCATTCTTTAAAATAAAAATACCTGTAATAAAAGTTTACATTTAAAACATGTAAAACACATAATTAATCTTTATCTTTTAACATATTTCTATCTAGCTCCAGAACATTATTTTCTTATTTTTGTTGAGATTTTTTTTTTGGAGGAGTATGGGTTTTTTGTTTTGTTTTTTTTATTTAATATATTTTGTATTGATTTTTTACAGAGAGGAGGAGAGAGGGATAGAGAGCTAGAAATGTCGATGAGGGAGAAACATCAACCAGCTGCCTCTTGCACACCCCCTACTGGGGATGTGCTTGCAACCAATGTACATGCCCTTGACCAGAATCGAACCTGGGACCTTTCAGTCCTCAGACCGATGCTCTACCACTGAGCCAAACCGGTTTTGGCAGGAGTATGGGTTTTAAGCCACTGATCAATTGCACTTTCATACTTTCTCGGTTCTTTCAGCCAGTCTTGATGCCACCTAAGATTTGCTATAACATTTGAATAGTTTTGCCCTACACTTTGTTTCCACTTGATAAACTGTTCTTTATTGTATTGGTGGACAGAAGCAGAAACTTTAGGGTAGTTTATAATGGAACGAAGTTTCTGATCCAAAGAATATGTGATTTTTGGAAACTTTGTAGCAATATTTGTTAGTTCATCTGGATCTGAAGAAATATCTGAAAGAAAAAAATTAAATACATGTCAAGAGAATTACCTGAAACAAGAACATTTTTTAGGATGTCATTACTCTGTGACAGATGATGTTTTAGAACTTATTTTTGTTTTCAGTTCCTCTTAGTATAGTAGGTTGATGGCCAGTATAAGTGTAGCAAAAGTTAAATACCTCTCTGAATGTTTTTTCAAATTATCTCCCTACCATCATCCCACTACTCATTTTTTCTAATCCACACTTAGATGGCAGAAACAGTCAAATCCTTATCACTAGTGAGCTGGCTTAGCGCTATTTCTTTCTGACTTTGATGCCTTGCTTTCTTTGACAGGCTGAGAAAAAAAATAGTATGCTTTCTTTGACCCACATCAATAACCCAAACTAAAGAATAATTTTGAGTTAATAATTTTGTAACAAGGAAGGAAATGTAGGGAGAAATTAATGTTAATAATGGCATTAGTACATATAGTATGTACAAAAAGGAGGCAAGGGATAAATCAAACCCCAATTCTAAAACTGCTGCTTTAAAATTAATTCACAGATTTTGCAGGATAATGCTCTCATCTAGTAGTGTTGTAAAGCTCTAGTCTATAAGGTACCGGTGGGGTCCCTCAGCCTGGCTTGTGCCCTCTCGAAATCCAGGACCCCTTAGGGCATGTCAGACTGCTGGAAATGATGCTGTTGTGAAGGCAGGAGAAGCTCATGCAGCAGCATCTGGCACCGTTGTGGGAGCGCGCTGACCACCAGGGGGCAGCTCCTGCATTGTGCATCTGCCCCGTGGTGGTCAGTGCGTTTCATAGCTACCAAATCGAGCTTTTGACCAGTTAACTGTTTGCTTAGGATTTTATATACTATATAGATAGGTAATAATCCTCCAGAACAGTTGAAAGCAAGGTATAATGAGAGGGTGTTAACTACTGATTGGGAAAGATAACCATGAATATTAGAAGACACCTTGACCAGAGAAAAACAGTGGTTTTGATCTTGAGTCTCAGATCAGAAGCTTTAGGGCACTAGCTCTGAAATACAGAAGGTGATTTGCAAAGGATCTGCTCCTCACACGGGCAATTTTTTTGTAGACTGTTCTACCAGGAGAAGCAGCAGATATTCATGTAACAATGATTACTAGATCTCTTAGGCAACACTATGTATAATAGGTC